AGCTCCGTCTCCCGCGCGCTCCAAGATGCGCGCGGCGCCGAGCCCGGGGACACCAGCTACAGGGGCCCCGCCAGCGCGCTCGGCGAGACAGGCCTCCGGGGCAGGGTCACCCGGTCGTCTCCAGACAGCGGTTCGGGGTCAGGGCTGGCGGAAGACGGCCTCAGGGGACAGAGCCGCATCGCCGGGTAGGCGCGTGCCGCCCGGGCCGCCCGCACGCGCTCCACGTGGTGCGAGCGGCGTCCGCAGGGTTGCTCCGCGGACTTCCAGGCCATGAGCTAGCTGCCCGCCGACTTGCGGGCCTTCCTGGGCGAGCACAGAGCCTGCGGCTGCAGCCGGACGCCCGCAAGGCCAGGTGCATCCTGACAGGTCAGGAGCTGCCCTGACGCCTGCCGGAGTTCCAGGTCTACAACCGCGGCAGGAAGTACCAGCGGCTGGTCCGCTCCTCCCCGGCTTTCAACTATGCAGAGTTTGAACCGCACATCATGCCCAGCACCAAGAACCCGCGCCAGTTGTTCTGCAAACTCACCCTGCGGCACATCAACAAGTGCCCAGAACACATGCTGAGGCACATCCAGGGCCGGCAGTACCAGTGAGCTCTGTGTAAATATGCAGAATGTCAGAAGCAAGGGCTGGAGTACATCCCTGCGTGCCTGGTGCACCGGAGGAGAAAGAGGGAGGACCGGATGGACGGTGATGGGCCTCGCTTGTGGGAAGCCTTCTGGGAGCCCATGTCCGGTGATGAGGGGGGAGCTCCAAGTGACGACAGCATGACAGACCTGTACCCACCCGAGCTATTTACCAGAAAGGACCTTTGAAACACAGAGGACATGGATGGCACTGATGACTTTTTGACAAACGAAGAGGACAAGGAGGCAAAGCCCCCAGAGCGTCCACTGATGAAGGCAGGAAGGAGAGGGACATGGACTGGGGGCTGGTCTGGAAGCGCAGGAAGAAGCAGTTGGGCTCCTTGAAAAAGAAGTTCAAGAGTCATCCCCGCAAACCTAAGAGCTTCAGCTCCTGTAAACAGCCAGGTCAATAAAAGCACATGCTGAGAAGTTTCAAAAAAAAAAAAAAAAAGCCGTTTTCACGCCCGTCTCGGTTGTGGAGCGCCGTGATCGTGCACCGAGGCCCAGAGTGGTCGCCGCCCAGGTCCCACCAGCCCGCAAGCCAGAGCATGGCGGCCATCCCCTCCAGCGGCTCGCTCGTGGCCACCAACAACTACTACCCGCGTGAGTAGCCCCTGCCCTCCACCACGCAGACGCCCCACGTACCACCTGCAGGACCCCTAAGGGCCGGTGGGCTGGTGGTCCCCGCACCCCGCCCTGCTGACGGAACCTCTCCTCTCCAGGCCACCTGGGTTCCACTTCCAGCAACAGCTCCTGCAGCAGTACTGGGTGCCCCGGCAGAAGCCGTTCCCCACCCCCCGGGTATCCCCAAGGCTGACCCGGGTAACTGGTGGGCCAGCTTCTTTTTCGGGAAGTCCACCCTCCGGTTCATGGCCACAGTGTTGGAGTCTGCAGAGCACCCGGAATCCCCCCCGCCCCCAGGCCTCCCGCAGCGTGACCACCTGTGGCCTGGCTCAGGACACCCTGAGGAAGCAGCCGGGTGGTCAGACCAGCACAGCCAGCGCTGGGCCGCCATCCTGACCTGAGCGATGACCACCAGATCCAAGCCTGTGGAGGCGCTAGGCCACCAGAGCCCCTCCCGCCCCCACAACCCCTGCCACCCCGCCGTAGACTAGGCGGCTGCAGCCAGCAGACCTCCACATCCACACAGCAGACACCAAAAAGGAGTGAGGGTCCGGCTCTCCACCACCCGGCCCGCCCCAGCCCTGAGCAGCTTTCCTGACACCTGGAACTGTGCATCTGACACCAAGCAGAAAATAAACGCCCAGCAGCCACACACACACACACACACACACACACACACACACACAAAAACACACACACACAAATACACACACACACAGACACACACACACAAATACACACACACACACACAGACACACACACACAAATACACACACACACGACAAAATCCTGACTGCGGGATGTTCAGCCGCCCCGCTGCCAACCGCCCGCAGCCCCCACGCTGACCCCGCCTGGACGCCCCGCTTCAACCGGTCCCCTCAGAGGTCTGTGGACGCCTCCCGCGCTCCCGGAAGCCCCGAGGACCGCGCACCCCGGCCACTGAACGCCGCCTTGCTGCCGACCCTGGGGCACCCGCACCGCCTTATGAGCATCCTGTGCCCGTTGTGCGACCAGCTGCGGACCCTGAACCAGGACGTGGAGCAGCTGCGCGGCGCCTTCTGCAAGACAGTGTCCCTGGCCGTGGGCTTCGTTCTGGGCAGTGCGGCGGCCGTGGGCTTCATCCTGGGCAATGCGGCCGCCTAGCGAGGGGTCACCAGGAACCCGTGCCAGTGACGCCCGGCTGTGGCTGCTGTCAGCCTCCCCGCTCCAGGCAGGGGCCCCTCCGCCCTGACTCCTCCTGCTGCCTTCCCATCCCCACGCCTGTGCACGTTTAGCAAAAGCATTGTTTTCCTAGAAAAATAAAGCAGAAGATGTCATAAAAAAAAAAAAAAAAAAACTCCTGACCTCAGGTGATCCACCCGCCTTGGCCTCCCAAAGTTCTGGGATTACAGGCGTAAGCCACCATGCCTTGCCCAGAAAGATTTCTTCAACATGAAAAATGGAATTACTAAGAACATGAATGAAACAGTTAAAGGTTCGTGTTTTATTGCCAGAATGCTTCCCTAGAAAGTTGTTCCAGCTTATACTTCCAGTAGTATTGCTGGCATTGAGATTTAGCAAAATCTCCTGAGTAGTAAAGTGAGTTTCCAATGACAATAGGACAGTTCTCTTAAATGTTACCTCTAGGGACAGTTAATCCTGCTTTTAAAATTCTAAATTTATGGTTAAAGATCTGGTAATGGTTAGTACAGTAAGAGAGATGAAAGGGAAGAGAAACATATCAATGTGAAGAGATGTTTCTCTATAAACCATAGAGACAAAGAGAATCAAATGTTGTGTCACACAGACATCACAGCCACTCATGCAATCTCAATGTATGGTTCCACATGGAAAGAGCAGCTGAGGCATGACCAGCTTCAGAGGAGGCTGCTCCGGGGTTCCTGTGTGAGTGCTACAACCTGCAGTTGTGTAACTTGGAGGATTAAATGGGGCTGAAAACAGGAGGATGTATTGAATGTCTGTTTTAGTGCTTTAGGAGTGGTTGAACACAACCCCCCATGTTGATTTCTGTATAAAGAACACAATGTCCATTTTCCATAGAGGATGAAACAGAAAGCCTGTGCACTGGAGATCACTGGGACCAACTGAGGAAAGGGGACAATATTGAAAACAAAGCACTTACTGAAAACTTAGATTCCCAGCTTTTTCTCACTGCTCAGCTTTTAGAATCCTGGCAATAGGGCTTCCTTCCTCTAAAAAGAGAATTCAAAAATATTCATCTGTGGGGATTAGACCAGCTCAATAAAGATAAGTCATAAAAATCCTGACACTAGGCATTTCCCCCAAAAATAGATCTAACAGCAAAATAATGGTCCTAGTGATAGGTTTCTAACACTAAATACCTAGAGGGGTTTTAGGTCAAGCATGTGGGCCTTTAACTGGTAAGTAACGACATTTGATCTAAATCCTGGGGTACAGTGTGAGTTCTGGAGAGCTCTGAGTGGTGAAGAGATGACAGGGGCTTCATGGGAGACTTATCCAGCCAGGAAAGAGAATTTTAGAAGGTTGAGCCTGAAAGCAGGGAGGGCATTACAGTACCGGAGGGGGAGAGGGGATTAGCATTCCCTCTCCCCCTCCGGGGGAGAAGTTGGGGAGATGATTAGCATTCAGTCCACAGGGCTCCTGGGTTTTTCTGAGTCTAGAGACTTCTTAAAACATTTGGTATTTCTGGGGTTAATGTCTATTATGTCTTTTCTAAATGGCATGCTTTCTATTTCTTATAGGAAAGTTCTTGTTCATTATAAGATAATTAGGAACTTTCTGAAACTCTAAAGGAAGCTGAATGTTGCAAAGTAAGCTCACGGCTGAAGATATTCTTCCATTTTCAACAATGCTCTTATCAAACTGGGCAAAGAGAAGACTGAGTAAACACACCAGAGGGAACCTGAATCAGGAGAGGCTCAAGCTCTCCCAGGAGCTCCCCTAAAGGGTTTATGTAAGTCTTAGAGGATCTTCTGCAAAATGAAGTTCTCCTAGAAACAATCACCAACTAGTTCTTTTCACATAAAATATCGATTTCCTGAAGGTAAGAGAAAAACTTAAACACTGAAATTTTATAGAGTTTATTTGAACATTCAGAGGTTCTATTTATTTATTTATTTATTTTGAGACTGAGCTTCCTTCTTGTCATCCAGGTGCAATGGCTCGAGTTCAGCTCACTGTTGCAACCTCTGCCTCCTGAGTTTAAGCAATTCTTCTGCCTCAGCCTCCTGTGTAGCTGGGATTACAGGTGCCTGCCACCATGCCCATCTAATTTTTATATTTTTTGTAGGTATGGGGTTTCACCATGTTGAACAGGCTGGTTTCGAACTCCTGATCTCAGGTGATTCACCCATCTTGGCCTTCCAAAGATTACAGACATGAGCCACCACACCCAGCCCATTTGTAGATTCTTGAGTGGGGCAGTACCAGACCACAGCAGTCAGCGCTCCATAAGGAGGGGCAAGAGGGGCAACTTCGATTGAATATTTGCAGAAGCAAGGCAAAGAAAACAATTCTGATTGGTTAGTGTGGAATGCCCCTATTGAGGTTAGTTGGTGGTTTCCAATTTGTACAGTTTCTGATTTATGCAGTTTCTAGTAGGAATTTAAAGTGCTGAGCCATGCTAGTGACCTGTCCTTTAAGTATTTTTTAATATACATGTATATTTAATTATTTTTTAAAACCACAATTGAAAAAATTCTTTGCCACTGGGTAGAATGAAATCTGACAGGAAACCCGATGAGTTTTATTAGTGCCATTATTGTTTTCTTTGGCTCCATGTATTACGTTAGTAAAATGACAAAAAAAAAAAAAGGAAAAAATTGTAAAAGGCAAATATTTTGTACAAAAATACAAAGTTTTAAAAGCTCTTTAAGTATATTTCATATTATCACTAGGAGTTGGCCTATATATCTGTATGTTTGCGTATTTTTCCTACACTTGGGATTTAAGAAATGTATGGTACTATTTACACAGTATATGCTTAAGTTTTTCCTATAGCTCAACACCAATGATAGCCTTTTTCTGATTGGAGTGCTCCATACTTTGGAAGATGTAATTTGCATAATTGCATAGTTACTGATGGAGGAAAATCTATGCGATTCAGTCCATGTGCACACTGAAAATCAGCATAACACACTGGGGGAACATTGTAGTTCCCAAGTCTTTGGGTAATGACAGATGGTAAAAAACACTAGCTGTCAATTTTTTTCAGTAATTGGTTTTCAGTGCTTTTTTTTCAATCTGATGAGAAGGTGATGCAATTAGAAAGGACTGTCCTTTGAGAGCTGGCTGAAAATTTGCTCATGTGATTCCATCACAGTCTGTTATAATGCAGATGATAACACTGTCTCCCTGTCTTTTTCACAAATGAAGTTATTGATGTCTTCACACTGGAAATCGTTCCACTGCCCAGCATAAATCAACCTAGCACAGTCTTCTCCTGGCCCATGGCCATGACCCCAGTTATCTGGCTGTCCAGCTTTCCAACTTTTGTAGTCTGGAGATGCCCCATCCAGCCACTTCCATTCATTTTCATTCTCTGAGTCTGAGGCCGATCCAGTGGCTCTCTCTCCCTACCATCTGTTTTTTAATCCATTGCTGTTCTTCTCTAGTGTTTATGAAAACGAGAAGTGAACACTTGTCTTCACAGAAAAGCTTTGCATCCTCAAAAATTTCCTTCTCAACGGAAAAATAGTAGCATTTGTCTGTGAAGTTCTTCCAGTGAGGCAGGCAGCCATTATCCTCCGGTGCAGGGGTGGGCTCATTCTGCAGGGCCAGGGGCACCACTGCTTCTGATGGGCTGGGGGGTCAGGGAGACCCTTGGGCCCTGGCATGCCTGGTACCCCAGGCAAATCTGGCAGTCCCCTAGGTCCAGGCACCCCAGGCTCCCCCATGGTGCCCCGTAGTCCCTGGAAGCCAGGAGGGCCATGGGGGCCAGGGAGTCCTTCTTTGCACGGTGGGCCTGGGGGGCCTGGTTCCCCACTGGGGCCCTGGGGCTGGGCTTCCCGGGGAAAACACGGGAGTCTTTGGGTCCCTGGGAGCCTTTAGAGCCTTTGCCGCCACACTCTCCAGGGGGACCGACTGGTCCCATTGGGCCTCTCTCACCCACAGGGCCGGGTGGTCCAGGTTCCCCCTTCTCTCCTTTCTGTCCCTTGTTGCCAGTTGGACCAGGGTGTCCCTGGGATCCTCTGTCACCTTTTGGACACTGGGGCTGGGTGGACCTTGCAGTATTGTAAAATTCTTGATGAGCTGACCATGCTTGGAGTCTACTAGCTTCATTTCTTCCATAATCACTGATAAGTTGCTTACTTCAGTGTCTAATCTCACTCTCATCAAATCTTGTTGCATCCTGAGAGAAACAGAATCCAAACAGATGTTGGCCAGGGTATTATTCAAGGAAGTCAGATCATCCTTGTGTTTGGTTAGGGTATCCATGCAAGTGGTCCTGACTTCATTCAGATTGCTAGTCAGCATCTGCAGGTGGTGGGCTGTGTAACTGATATTGCTAATGATATTTACAATATCCATCTCAAAGAGCTGGAAGTGTTCCTCCAGTTGGTTGAACCTGATGGCCGTTCTATTCTCTGCATCCTTGTGTAAGTTCTGCAGGTCTTTCAGGTTCTGCTCGTTGGCCTGAGAGATAGTGATGTTCTCCATCAGACCTGTAAATGAGTTGAGCTGGCTGTTCATATCCTCAAGGGTGTTGTTGTTGGCTTTGGCCAAAGCAGAATTATTGGTAGCCAGCATCTGCAAGCTTTGCACTTCCTCCTTCAGTCAATCTGTGTCCTTCTTGGCTTGAAGAAAAACCTGCTGCAGATTTTGAAAGTCATTCTTGATTTGCTGGATAGCCTGGCTTGTGTCATCCACAGACCGCTGCAGATTCGTGATGAGGTTCCTCTGCTGTACCTGGGTCAGGTTCAGGTTGTTGAGGTTCATGATGACCACGTTATGAGAATACATTTGGTTCTGCAGATTACCCTGGAGCACACTGGTATCTTGCTGCAGATTCATGACACAGCCATTGTACGCCTGGAGGGTTTTGTTTACAGTGGTGATGAGGGAAGTTATTCTCCAAAGTTTCTTTTGGTTGACTCCCTGTCCACCAGTGCATCCCTGCTAGCCTGTAACTTCTCCAGCATATCCTTGTTCTTGCTGGTTTTTTTTCTGTAATCTCACGAAGTTGCTGACGGATATCTAGAATGTCTGATCTGAAGGTAGAGAGTTCTGAGTTGGCGCTAATAGCTTTCTTCCCAGTTTAGTCACCTAATTTTTTCAGGTCACTTTCCACTGCTATGAGCTTGTCATCATAGGTTTGGCGAGATGTCTCCATGCCACCTGTGACATTATCCATTTTCTCTACAACTTTATATCCCAAAATGGCTACTGTGATTGTTAGCAAGGCACACAAAATGTGTAATAATATGATAGAAAACTTCAGTGCCAGTTATTTTTACGTTTGGTACATTGTGTTCCTTCCTGAATACCAAACCACTTGTAACCGAAGGACTGCACCTCCTCCTCCTCTGCGAAGTCACCTTTCATGGTGACAGAGGGGACGCACCGCCAGCCAGAGAGCTCCACAGGAGTGCCACGCCGCTGCCTTGAAAGTTGTTTTGAGAGGCCACTCATTGCATGCCCATGGCAGCTGCACCGCCTGCCGGTTGTCTGCGCCCAGGCCCTCCATCGCCGTCACCGGCCCGCGCTCCCAGCCAGCGAGTAAGTATTTTTAATACTAATTAATGATAGAAAACCTGAAGACCTTGACAGCATCTGAGATTTTGCGATCTATGGTACTGAGGATAAATTTCATTAATTACATTTCCAATGAAACAATAATTGCCTTTAGTAAACTATAGGAGCATAAGTAGAAATGATATTGTAGTATATGTCTCATGTCATTACTTCTGCCAGATATACCTCTGCCCTTGCATTTTCAAAAGATATTTGCTGCATCCTTTTCTGAAATATATTTTTATAATCTCAATTTCTTCAAAAATATTTCTTTCTTTCTTTCTCTCTCTCTCTCTTTCTCTCTCTCTCGACAGAGTCTCACTCTGTCACACAGGCTGGAGTGCAGTAGCATGGTCTCTGCTCACTGCAACTTCCTGCTGGGTTCAAGTGATTCTCCCACCTCAGCCTCCTGAGTAGCTGGGATTACAGGCATCTGCCACCACACCTGGCTAATTTTTGTATTTTTAGTGGAGACAGAGTTTCACTATGTTGGCCAGACTGGTCTCGAATTCCTGACCTCAGGTGATTCACCCACCTTGGTCTCGCACAGTGCTGAGATTACAGGAGTGAGCCACCCCTCCTGGCCCAAGATCCTAACTATAATTATCTCCCTAGCCACTATACTGAGCATTTTATTTAGTGCTCTTTTATACCATAACATATACATATAAGAAAAACTGTCATATTCTACATATTTATTTTTATCCTGTTTTCCTCTAAAAACTATTAAGGCAACTTCCAAAATATGTACTACATAATGAGATTAATAAACAGGCAAAGCAACTAAAGCAGTAAGAAAATCTAGCTTGGATTTGTATGGATTAAAAAATAAATACACAAAATATAACATGATATTTGGTCCAATATAGGCTTCCCATGCCCCAGAGAGGTCAGGGATGCCCAGGTCTACAGCCGTGACTGGGCAGCTGCCATTGCACTTGGGAGTGTGGGGCTCCCTCCACACCAACTCAGAAGGGACAGAGCTCCTACCTGTTCCCCGCTCTCACCTGCTCCACAGAGCATGCAGCCCCATGGTGCTGTGCCTGCTGCAGCTGGCATCTTGGCAGCAGCCTCTCCAGATGGGCCACTCCTGCCATCAACACCACCCAAACAGGTAATGCCACTCAACCAGTTCTGCAATTCCATCCTGGAACAGAAGACAGCAAGAAAGCCTCACTTCGACCCCCTCCATCTCCAACCTGACCAATCAGCACTCCCCACTTCCTGAGCCCCTACCTGCCATATTATCCTTAAAAACTCTGATCCCCAACTGCTCGGGGAGACTGATTTTATTATCCTTAAAATCTCTGATTCCCCAACTGCTCCTGGAGACTGATTTAAGCAATAATAAAACTCCAGTCTCCTGCCCAGCTGGCTCTGCAAGAATTACTCTTTCTCTGTTGCAATTCCCCTGTCTTGATACATCTGCTGTCAAGGCAGTGGACAAAGAGAAGGGAACTTGTTGGGCAGATATATATACACACACACATATACACATACATATATATACGCACATATATGTATACATAAAGAAAAAGGCCCAGATTTCAAAAGAGATGGTCCACTATTGGGGGTATTTATTTCTCAGGGGCAGCAAAGGCTTCCCTAGGGCCAGAAACAGGCTGTTGGCCACCTGGCTCCTCCTGGAAACCAAAAACAATTTTGAGAATGCCCGGGTATGATAGGATTCAGTCGTATCCGGATCCCAAATTTTAGACTTGCAGCAAAGTCACTTTATGACAAACTCCAAGAGGCCAACTCTGACCTTTTTAAGTGGGATGAGTAATGTAATCAGGCCTCCTGGAAGCTTTGAAAGCTCCTAAGAGGCTCTAGCCTTAAGGCTTCTCAACTTAGAGTGTTTGATCTCTACATTCATGAAAGACAGGGACTAGCACTCCAAGTACTGACCCAGATACGAGGACCCAAGAAAAGGATAGTGGCTTACTTCTCAAAACAACTTGACATTGTGGATATGGAGTGGTCCTCCTGCCTTAGAGCAGTGGCTGCCACTTGTATGTTTATCCAGGAAGCCAAAAGTCTTACACTGGGCCAAGATTTCAGGTGCACCCCCAAGTGAAAAGTACATTAGAGGCTAAGGGGCATTATTGGCTCACACATAGCAGAATGTGCAGTAGCAGGCCCTACCAGTGAACACTCAGCATTCATGTGCATACATACCAAATGCTTAAACCTGCTACCCTAATGCCCATCAGCCGGATCCCGTAATCTCCAACTCCTCTGCCACCATAGAGGAAATATGTTCTGGCAGAAAGGATTTGCAGAGTGAACTGCTTCCTAATCCTGCAGACATGTGGTTTGTAGATGGCAGTAGCTTCATGGAAAGAGGACAAAGGAGGGCAATATGCAGCTGTCTCCCTACAGGTGACCACTGAGGCCCCGCACTCCCCTCAGGGATTTCCACCCCAAAGGCCAAGATAATAGCACTAACCAGAGCCTCAACACTAGCAAAAGGCAAGGCCTTGACTGTTTGTACAGACTCAAGATAGGCATTCTCTGTGGTGCATGCCCACGGTTCAACATGGAAGGTAAAGGGAATTCTAAATGCCAATAACAAAGAAACCAAATATGTGACAGAAATGTTGGCATGGCTGTGGGCGGTGGAAATGCCTAGACAGATTGCTGCAGTCTACTGCCTGTGTCATCAGAAATTATAAAAAGGGAACCACCTGGCACATGTTGTAGCCAAAAGGGTCGCACAGGGATGGGAAGTCCTTCAAATATCCTTGCTCCCTTCAGTACCTCTTTATGAATATAAGCTGAGGCACGCCTCTGGGGGATTGCTGGAAGCCAAATGAGAAGAATATTATCATAGTTCCCTCTCAGGGAGTTGAGCCCTAAATAAGAGAGGCAGGATATGGGTGCCTGAAAATTTGAAGTGGGCTATTATAAATCATGCCCATGTCTCCTTGCACCATGGCAAGGAGGCTATGCATGCCTGGCTCCTCAGGAATGCAAGGTTCCCCAAACTGGAAAGCAGTAGGTAAGATGGCTGACAAACGTGTCTTTTGTCAGAAAAACAGACACCAGACCTTCCATACCTCCTTTGGCCAAAACGGTATGATTCAGGGAAACCATACCCGGGGAAGACTGGCAAATGGACTTCACTGTTATGACTTGGCTCCTGGAGGATTAAATACCTCCTAATTCTTGTTGATACCTCTTCCAGTTAGACAGAAGCCTTCCCATGCCTGACAGAAAAGGCAGAAAAAGTCTTAAAGACTTTGCTAAAGGAAATTATTCCTCAATTTGATCTCCCTAAGTCCATCCAGAGTAATAATGAATTCACTGAATTCATCGTTTCTGCCACCATGCTAGAAATGAATCTGGCCATTCATTTATTTATTCATTCATTCACAGGCCATATCCAGAGGTGAAGTGGTGCTTAGCCCCCCTGAACTGTCATAGGAAAGGCCTTATGAGAGCATGGCCACCTTCTTTCCTGCCAAATAGAAAGATAGAAAGGGCAATAAAGCACATCATTCATATAGGATCGGTGTTATCTGCTCTTAACTATTAAGGCAACCTCCACCCCCCAGTTTCTGCTGAGGTAAAACCTCACCCATACCACCCAGAAGACTGGGACACATGAAGAACCTGAAAGACCTGGGCTCCTACAGGACCAGCTCAGCCCCATGTGGACAGGGCCTCATCTAATGCATCAAAATGCTCATTCTTCCCTTAAACTCCAGGGACTAACTTTTTGGATTCATCACTCAAGAGTGAAGGAAGCCCAGAAACCTCGGAGGCCCACTCCCCAGCATACACTTATGAACCCATCATGGACCTCAAAATTGTTTCTGGAAAGGAAGACTCAGATAAGGATAATGTGTCCTTGCTATTCTCTTACATACTAGGCATCCTTAATAACCTTGTGAGCTAATAAGAATCCTATTATTTGTTGCCAGCTTACACTCCACTGGGATCCTCAGTTGGTGGTGAATCTGTCTATATGACACCTTAAAATAGACATTCTCTTCCCTCTATGCTGCTTTGCCATTTTGGTTCCCATGGCCATTGGTGTCTGGGAGGCCAATGCAGTAGATTTTGTGTCTCCAAGACTCAAACAGTTTCATCTCCAGTTTTTTTACAACAGTATCAGCCCCTTTGAGCAACTCCAGGTGACCCAAAAACTTATTTGAACTCAGCGGCCCGAGAGTTCCATTCCTCTAACTTGAGGGGACTCAACACACTCGGTCAGCATGAAGTAGCTACAGAAGCATGAACTCTGTCTTTAAACCCTCAGGAATGAGAAGTGCAATGTCTCAGGAGGGATTCCTAACCCAGGGTCTGTGAGGTTTAGGGTACACACTGTGAAAACATACCCATTTGTAACTGCTGCATCTTGAAGTTCTTATTTCAAAAAGGTCCAGTAAGAAGCCCATCCCTGGCAAAACAAAAACCAGTTGAATCCAGAATGCCTAAGTTGGAGATGAACTTTGACGACTCTCCTCTTTAAGGTACTAAATATGCTTTATGGTACTAAAAACTCCTTTTAAAATGATTCAAATGGTTCTCCATTTTCCATGTATGTGACCCTGTGGAAACAAATCACTGACAACTATGCCTTCCCTGCCTTTAATCCACTTCTGCGTAGGATGACTCAGCTAACCTGCCCAGTCAAAGCCCTGCTCTCACCTTTGTTCAGAAAGACACTGCTTTGGGGAATTATTCCCAGTGTCCTCCTTACTTGTCGCAAGTTATAAAAACCCCTTTGTTAAATCCTCCTTACTTGTGCTCATTGGACTCTCACCCACCAAGTGATCAAACCCAGCCATTGCGTGGGTAACATCCAGAACCCCCAACATTTCATAAAACATTATGAACAGAACACAAGAACACAGACTGATTAAACCATATTTATGACAAGTGCTACTAAAATCATACTTTAAATAAGGAGGAACTATTTTAAATCTTCATTTATGGAAATT